CAAATAAACACCGGACCAGCAAGCAGAAAGGTGGAAACCCTCCTGTTACTTCCGAGGGGCTTGGACAGGGAGCATCTTTGCATGTATGTGTGTGTGCATGTTCATCCAAGTGTGGTCACATCTATGTGTATATGCATGTGGAGGTCAGAGGTCAACCTCAGGTATCATTCCTTAGGTGCTGAACACCTTTTCTCTCCCTTCCCCTCTTTTTCTGACACAAAGTCTCACTATGTAGTCCAGCTGCCCTGGAACTCTCTAGGTAGACCAGGCTAGCCTTGAACTCACAGAGATCCACCTGCTTCTATGGACATACCTTTAACCCCACCCCCACCCCTTGAGTTCTGGTATTAAAGGTATATGCCATCATGCCCGGATCACCTTTTCTGTTTTGACACAGTCTCTACTGGCTTAGAATTTGTCAAGTAGGTTAGGATGGCTGACTATTGAACCCCAAAGATCCACCTGTCTTCACCTCTCCAGCACTGGGATTACAAACTGGTGACATCATGCCTGTGTGTGTGTGTGTGTGTGTGTGTGTGTGTGTGTGTGTGTGTGTGTTGTATGTGTTTATGCATACGCAGGTGTGAATGTGTGTGTGCGCACATGTGTCAGGGGAGCCATCAGTCCAGATCAGGCATGTTCCTCAATTTCTGTGTCTGAGTGTTTTGCCTGTACGCATGCATGTATGTCTATGGCATGTGTACCATGTGCACACCGTGCCCTCAGAGGCCAGAAGAAGGTGTTAGACTTCCTGGAACTGGGGTTACAGATGATTGTGAGCCACTATGTGGATGCTGGTGCTCTTAATCACATCTGTCTGGCCCCCTACCTTACTTTTTTTTCTTTTTACATGAATGGTAGGGATGTAAACTCGACCTCATGCTTGCACAACAGGCCTTTTACTGACTGCACCAGCTCCCAGCTCATGCCCAGCTCCTTTTACGTAAGATCTGAGGACTGTTCTCAGGTCCTTGTATTTTCGAGGCAAGTACTTTACAGACTGAGCTACCTTCCCAGCCCCAGACACCCTTACCAGCTTCCCGGTCCAAGAGCTAAACTCCCGCGGAATGACAGTCAGACCCAGGAAGAAAAAAGCTTCCGGGGTCACTTGTGTGACTGTGATGAGCATTCACTAATTTTTGTTTTCTTCTCAAAGTTCCTCAATAACTCGTAAATTTCACAGCGATTAATTTACAATATTTGTAATCAAGAGAAAAGCCAATCCATTTGAAAATAAGAGCACAAAACTTCTGGTTGTTTATCCAAGATCCCCAGCCCAGAGCTCTTGCACAAGGAGAGCCCGCTGTCTCCATGTCTGTTTATGTATGGAGATTTTAATTCCTACTTCACTACCCTTAAATTTCCCTAAGGAAAAATGTAGCCCAGAAACCGGGAGAGGGATGATGAGAGTGAGTCCCTTTTCTGAAAACATTTTTTTTTTCTTTTAGAAAGCTTTCTAGGTCATCGTAAACTGCAATGGCATTCAGGTCGGAAGTGAACAATATTTCCCAAACTTTGACATAATTTTACCCATGCTCGGCTTTTCGTCTCGGGAAGTAGCCGCAGGGTGCTCAGACCTGTATGCAAAGGTCTGTGTGTGATGTCAGCCAAGCTCATTGACCTTGGATGAGCCCTTCACTCCAACTAGGTCATTAGAGTAGCTAATTAATCAGGCTTCTCTTCACCTCTTGATCTTAAAAAAAGAAAAGAAAAAAAAAAAGCTTTTTCAAATACTTGACAGTTCAGTCATCTTAGCCCACAGAGCATTTAGCACTGAACTGAAGAGGCAATACCAGCTCAGTGCCTAAGTGAAGTGGCATTTTGAGAGCTTACCAGACAGGGGGCATAATTACAGGGTGACTCTGGCAGTCACTCTGATAACATTTGAGCCTGAAGTGAAAGCAATTGCTTCTTCCTACTTGTAATAAAAAGCTCTGATGCGTCTGCCCTTCACATGGAGTCTATGACTCGTGCCCCCCCCCACTTTACACTATAAGAAAAAAAGCATCGAAGCATAAATAGTGAGTAATCTATAAAAGCTAAGGCACTAAAGGGGTGGCCACGCCCCTACTCCATCAGGCGCTGAATAGGCCATAATTCCGGCATTGTTCCGGTGCAGCTGCGAGGCGTCAGCCAGGAACACACTCTGAAGCCTGAGTGACGCTGGAACCTGCCTCTACTCTCGGTCTCCAATCCAGACATTAAATCCTGCCAAATGGTTATTTTTACCACCACTTGGACCCAATCTTTACTCTTCAGTCTTTATCCTCAGCTCCTCCCTAAGTGAAAACTGCTCAGGGTTCCATAGCAGGTGTGAACTTAGAGGGTTGCTTTTAACAGGATGAGGCTGAGCTGGGAAGCTGGGGCTGTGGAGAACTGGGGGAAAAAACGGAGCTGTCACCAACTGAGGATGGCCACAGCAGTGCTGTAAGAGCTATCTAGAAGGAGGGAGATGGGGAGAGAGAAGGAAAGGAGAAGGGGGGGGAAGCAGAAAGGAAGGATGGATGGATTCTATTCGCTAATTTTCTAACTGGTCAGCGATGGGTTAGTTAAGCCCCGGGAGTAAGGACAGGGCTTTTTGGACACAGGAGATTAAAAGTTCCTCAGCTAGGCTGGGGATGTGGCTCAGCTGGTATAGTGTTTTCATGGGATAGCATGCATGAAGCACTGGGCTCAAGTCCCAGAATGTATGAACTGGGCATGGCGGTACACACGTGAAATCCTAGCTCCTGAGAGTTGGAGGCAAGAGGATCGGTAATTCAAAATCATCTTTGGCTACAAAGCAAGTTTACGAACAACCTGAACTCCATGAGACTGACTCAAACAGAGTTCCCCAGCAGACTGTGAGAGGGGAGCAGGCTACACCCTCGCTGCCTCACACAGATCTGTAGTGGCACAGATGGCTGCGCCCTCACTGGCACACACAGGACTGTGATAGGCACCCAGGGACAGGGGCAGGTCTGGACAGGGCAGACATCAGTCTCTTCCCTCTTCCTGAACACATCTCTGCAAGAAAGCTTCTTACCTCTCACAGGACCATTGGCCACGAAGACACATATGGGGCCTCAGATGCCCCTGGAATGCTGAGCTGAGTCTCCACCCCAACTCACTCTGTGTCTGACGGTCCCCATGCAGCCTCCCTCCCTGAGAGACAGTGTGTGTCCCAGCGGCACCCATCTGTGGCTGCAGGGGTGAAATGGTATCCATTAGCTTAGTAAACGGACACAGATATGTGTGGCCTCCCCCAAGCCTGGAGGTGGGGAGCTCGTATCAGACCCAGCTGCCAGCCACTCATGGCACAAATATACCCTTGGCTCTTCCACGCCACAGAAAGCTGCCAGTAAGTGACACAGGATCCTATTACAGTCGATGCTCTGACCCCAAGGCCACATGTGTGTAACCCAGTCTTCTAAAACAGTGCCCGCCAACAACAGACTGACTCTCACCAAGAGCCTGAGACAAGCCCTCACTTTGCAGATACGGAAACTCTTTCCTGAGCCTGAGCTCTGAGTCCCTGGGCTCAAGGATGAGGAGACGCCCTGGGACCTAGCCCAACCCTGGGGCAGAGGGACTGGGAACCAGCTGCCCGCCCTAGATAACCCTGGTTTTCAGGACTCGAAGCCAGATGTCCTTCAGTGGACCACCCCCTGCACCAGAACAAGGTCAGGGAAGAAAGAGCCGTAGATTGTGGCCAAGAACTGTTTGGGTCACCCCTGCACAGATCCTTGACTTCTGTGTACAGGATACAGCCCATAACAACCTGCTCAAACCCTTAGTTTACCCTTCCCCACCCCACCCCCCACACAACTAAACACACATTCTTTTCACCTCAAGTGAATTTCAGCCAACAATGCCTGTGTTCTCAGTTGTTCTGGAAAATGAGAACTCTCTAGCTGTCTTAATTTACAGATTGATATGGAGCAGTGGTTCTCAACCTTCCTAATGCTGTGACCCCTTAATACAGTTCCTCATGTTGTGGGGACCCCCCCAGCCATAAAATTATTTTTGTTGCTGCTTCACAACTGCAATGAATGAACTGTTATGGATCGTAACGGAAAAAGCTGATATGCAGATTGTCTTAGGCAACCCCAGTAAAAGGGTCTTTCAACCCTTTTAAAGGGGTCATGACCCACAGGTTGAGAACCACTGATATAGAGCCTAAGAGTCATACAGCTGAGCTGGATACTGTAGTGTATGTCCATAATCTCAGCCCTTGAAAGGTAGAGGATTTGGAGTTCCAACTCCACTACATGTGAGTATGAGGCTAGCCTAGGCTACATGTGACTGTCTTGTCTCATTAAAAAAAGGAAGGGAGGGAGGAGGGGAGGGAGGAGGGGAGGGATGGGGAGGAAGGGAGAAAAAAAGGAAGGAGGGAAGGGTGAGTGTGCCTGAGACAACCTGGAGTGTCCAGAGGTCTGCAGCAGAAAGTGCAGACAGGCCACACCGTGTGGCCTTTGACAAAGTTTTCCCCTTGATCATGTAAAGAGCAAGTTTCTTTCCATGATCCTCCAGTTCCCCACAGAAAAGCCAAAAGCCCCCTTTTTCCCTGGTTTATTTTCATTCTCTTTAGAGGTGACTCTCAGGGAGAGCAACACTACTAACACTGACGAAAAGAAAGGGGGGCAAAAAGACGCTTGTCCCCTGACATGGGGTCCCACCGCCCATGGGGACCTCACCAGCAATGATACATTACTTAAGTACACTATTTTACCTTCCTGTCCATTTGAAAACAAAATCAAAGAGTGGACCAAGGGTGGAGAAATCTCATCAAAACCTACTACATATTGTTCAATAAACACCTAGATAATTAATTCTGTGTGGAGCTGAGGACCCCAGAATCACAGCAGACAGCCCTGGTGGCCTCCCAACAGCCTCACTCAGGAGGCTTCAAATTACACACCCTCCTCCTCAGAAAGAGTCCTACCAGCTCCACCCCTTGGAAATTAGCCACACAGACCCCAAACCAGGTCCCAAAGCCACTTGAAATCCAGGGTACTTACCGACTTCCTTTGGGAATGAAAGTCATTTTAAAACAAACAGGAGGAGTCCGTGCCTTCTGTTGCCCTGAGCAGGCAACCTTGGAGGCTGGCACACTTTCAGAGGGACAGCTTCCGCAGGAGCTCCACTGGGTCCCAGAGGGCAACAAGCAGATGTCAAGAGCCGAGCTGTACTTCCAGGGCCTGATGGGCCCCGCCTGGGGTCTTGTGGGTGGTCCTGCCTCCCTGGCAGCGCCCTCCTCTTCTGCTGGCCACAGCTGCAGAGACTGAGCCCTGACAAAGCCAGCATGTGGAGAGCTAGGGAGGCAGGCGGGCGGGGCTCAGCCCGGGATGCCACAGACTGGTCCCCATAGCAACACTGCCGAGGAGCAAGGCTGGTGGTGCCGAGCTGGTAGTGAGTGGGGCAGTGGCCTGGGTAAGCAGGAATCCATGTGGTTTGGGGCTCCAGGAGGGCACGGGGAAAAAAAGGCTACTTATTATTCCTGACACCATCACCCACCTACCACTTCTGACAGACTCAGGGTTCTGAAGCTGCAGAGATCTTTAAATACTCTTAATATCACAGAGAACTCCTTTTCGTGGTGTGGGGACACTTGACTCTGTGTAAAGGAGGCTATAGTGAAAATAAATGTGTATTTTCTTTTCTATGCTTTTTGGTTTTTGTTTGGTTTTGGTTTTGGTGTTTTGTTTTGTTTTGTTGAGACAGGGTTCCTCTGTGTAGCTCTGGCTGTCCTGGTACTCTCTCTGTAGACCAAGTTGGCCTTGAACTCACAGAGATCCACCTGCCTCTGCCTCCCAAGTGCTGGGATAAAAGGTGTGCACCACCACCGCTCTGCCAAAACAAGCATTTCCTTAAGGAGATCTTTGTATGGATGCTGTGCCAGAGTGTATATGCATATGTGTAGTATAAAGAGTGTGTGATGTACACAGTGTGTGGTGTGTAAGCACATATGTGATACCTATCGTGTATGTCTGGGTATGTGACGTGTGTGGTATGTATCTATATTGTAGGTATGTGGTGTGTATATGGTGTTATGTTTTGTAAGGGCTCTAAGAAGCCCGGACAGTCTCTACCATGGTGTTTACTTGTTGTAAACGGGAAGGTGGAGTAAGCCCTAAAGAATCCCACAGTCCCACGTGCCCACCAGCTGACCAGAAGCGTGAGTCAGTGGCTCTGGGTGGCCAGTCCTGTCCAGCCATCTGCCTCCAAGCCCAGAGCTTCTCAGGTTTTGTTCATTTGTCTATAAACCCACCGTCTCACTACACATGTGGGATTCATTAGAACAAGGCCAAAGTCCCACAGATATTCCTGAAGTGCTCTCCACATGTCAGCAGTAGGACAGAGAGGAAGTCAGAAACCTAGGGATCTAAGATGTTACTTGTGAAATTAAAGTGCAACAAAGAATCCATTCTAAAGGAAATGGTTGTCCCTGTGAGCAGCATTAGTCGGGCCTGAGCTCATTCCCTCCTGGAGGGCTGGGTCTTGCGCCAACTCTCTGTCAAGATCTCTGAGTGAGTTCTTATTCCTCTATGCTGGAGGAGTCTGTGGATACCAAAGCCAGGGTCTCTGATGCAGGGCCCAGCTCACAGGCATCGCCTAGGTAATTTCTGCAGGTGCGGTCAGTATTTGTATGTACTTTTTTTTTTTCTTTAACCAGAATCTAGCCCACATGTAGACACAGTTTTCCCACCCTGCATCCAACTGTAGACATTGTTCTGTTAATTCTGATTCTCCACCACTGAGACCCTTTCCACCCAGTCCTTCTGCTTCCTGGCCTGTTCTTTCCTCAGCCTTCTCCACCTTCCCCATTTTCAGACCCTGACAGGAGTTGGAAAGGGGTGGAAACCAGGAATGAGGCACTTCTCTCTCCCCAGTGTGCTGGGTTCTATACTCCAGTCCTGAACCACAGGCCCACGCAGCCCCAGCTGCCAACCAGGATGACGACCACAGAAAGTGACTCATTTTACATGACCACGTGGCCATTTAGAGATGGATGGAGAACTTTTTGCCGTCCTAAAATACCTCACACCACCCAGAGCATGAAGGCCTCACCCCTCCAGATCTCAGGTTCTATTTGTTTGTTCAGAGGTTTATTTAGCTCGTTGTTTTCCTTTGTTGTTTGTTTGAGACACGCCTCTCTGGCCAGCCTGAAACTCTGATGCTTTTACCTCCCCCTCCCAAGTACTGGGATTATAGGTGTGTGTCACCATATCTAGTTTATGTGGGGCTGGGGATCCAACCCAGCGCTCCCTGCATCCTAGGCAAACACTGGACTACACCCCCACATCCAGACCCCGAATCCCTGGTCTTTATGACCACGGTTTTTATTTGTTCCTGAGTGTCGTGTTAGGGAAGGAATAACAGTGATCTAACGTCCTGTACCCCAATCCCACAGCTGCAGCGGCCCACAAGGTGGTGGGGTCTCCTTGTGTGTGCCCCTGCACGCAGTGCTAGGCAGGAGAGACTCCGATCAGGGGAGGTGCTTGGCCCCCCAAAACTGCTTACCTCTCAACCCTTCCCGCCTGGAGGAGGCTCTGGCTTCGAAGCTGTAAATGTCATCTGACCTCCACTATGTCGGGAAAATCCCTGAAAATAACAGCATTGGCTTGAGGTCTGGGATGAGTGTCTTTGTCTCCTGAGGAGCCCTTGATGTGAAGAACCGAGGCACTCTATGTCATGTGGTCACCGGAATAACCAGAGGGTGGCCCAGCAACACAGGGAGTCACTCAAAATAGGCAGCGCTGTGGTTAGCACTCGGAAAAAAAATGATTGCTGGAGATGTGGGGCAGGCAGAGCATGTGAGGGGCCATGGGAAGTGCTCCCTCCTCTTCCTCCTGCTGTGATGACAGGCCGTAAACAAAACGGGAGGAGTTCCTTTGTTTCTGGGGTCTTCATTATGTGACAGGCACTTTCCATAAATGCTTTCATTTAATTGTCCAAATTCAGATCATTTTGCCCCAAACTAACCATCTCTTGAGAAGAAAAAGAAAAAAAAAGAAAGCTACTGGGATGTAGCTCAGTTGGTAGAGCACTTGCCTAGCATACAGAAAGTCTTGGGTTCGAACTCCAGCACTACAGAAACCAGGAATGGTGGCATGTTCCTATAATCCTAGTGTTTGGTGGAGACATCAGGATCAGAAGTTCAAGATCATTCTTGGCTATATAGTGAGTTGAAGGCTAGCCTGGGACCCTGTATCAAAAATAAGAAAAAAAAAACTGCTTTGTAATTTCTAAAACACTGGGAGGGGAGCAGCACAGTCTCATTTCCAGGATTCACTCCAAATTCTGCTCCCCAAAAGAAGCCCTCAGTGGTTCGAACCACATGTCACACAGAACTCACCCCCAGAGGATCTGAGCCTACAGTGGACTTTGTAGTTCAAAATTTAAATTTGAGGTTTGAGGATTGTGGGTTTCCCAGCGGCACACAGAAGATTGTGGGCCGTGTTTTAACTCTGAGCTTCATCGGCTGGGTTTGAAGAGACCCTGGCAGCTGGCTGTGCCTGTGAGACATTTCTCCTTTGCTACAGAGGCTCATGACATTCTCCTCTCCCCTCCCTCCCTCCCTCCCTCCCTCCCTCCCTCTGCGCGCGCAGGGTGTGTGTGTGTGTGTGTGTGTGTGTGTGTGTGTGTGTGTGTGTGTGTGTGTGTTGTTTCTTGGGCTGGGCTGTGAACTGCAGGATAACTGGCCCTTGAGTTCCCAGGCCACTTTACCACCCAGCCTTCCATCCCACATGAGAGTGCTAGAATTAAAGATGTGAGGGCTTAGTGCACTCAAAGTGTTCACAGTGATTAATCCATCACTTATCCTATAAATATTTAGTAAGCAATACTTAAATTTTTATTTAATATATATGATATTTTATTTCTGTCTTTTGTTCTCATACAGAACACAAATTCTGGATAGACCTTTTTTTTTTTTTTTTAATGTAGCTCAGGATCCTTCTGCCTCAGCCTCCTGGGTAATAAGACTCCAGCTGTGCACTGTCACACCTTCCCAAATTCTGTTTGGAGGTGGGTTTTCCTTTTCAGGATATTGTTGTGGGAATTCTGCCTTCGGTCTAATGACCAATGGAATGGAGCAGGTTGGCCCAATGGGCATGGTCAGACGAGGTGGGTTGGAGAAATGGCTCAGCTGTTAAGAGCACTGGCTGCTCTTCCAGAGGTCTTGAGTTCAATTCCCAGCAACCACAAGGTGACTCACAGCCACCCATAGTGGCATCTGATGCCCTCTTCTGACATAAACATGTACATGCTCATAGAGCACTCATATACATAAAATAAATAAATCTTTTTTAAAAAAAAAAAAGAGGAAGAAGGTCGTGCACGCCCTTCTTTCTTTTTCGAGACAAGGTTTCTCTATGTAGCTTTGGAGCCTGTCCTGGAACTTGCTCTGTAGATCAGGCTGGCCTCGAACTCACAGAGACCCACCTGCCTCTGCCTCCTGAGTGCTGGGATTATAGGCGTACCACCACTGCCCGGTGTAACTGTAATTCTTGCTTGATAATTGTTTTATTATATGTAATTTTACTATGTTAAAGTTAAAACTGTAGCTAGAGTTTTCCCGCCTGGCTCACAGTCAGGACAAATCTCTCTCACCTGCCAGTCCCACAGCCCCTCAGACCCGACCAAATAAACACAGAGACTTATATTGGTTACAAACTGTATGGCCGTGGCAGGCTTCTTGCTAACTGTTCTTATATCTTAAATTAATCCATTTCCATTAATCTATACCTTGCCACATGGCTCGTGGCTTACCGGCATCTTCACATGCTGTTTATCATCATGGCGGCTGGCAGTGTCTCTCTGACTCAGCCTTCCACTTCCCAGCTTTATTCTCCTCCTTGTCCCGCCTATACTTCCTGCCTAGCCAATGGCCAATCAGTGTTTTATTTATTGACCAATCAGCAACACATTTGACATACAGAACATCCCACAGCACTTCCCCTTTTCTTTTTTTTTCAAAAAGGAAGGTTTTAACCTTAACAAAGTAAAATTACATATAATTTGGGAATTTGGGCGTAGCTTCTCTTACTACTTCCTGTTGGAGGAGGGCACTGTATCTTATGGGGACATAAAGAAAATTTAAGGATTATGGAATAGTCCGTGAGGCTGTATCATCTGAGCCAGTTGCCTTCAAACCATTCTGGATGTTGGATCATCTGGGCCATGGTGTCATCGGAGACCTTTCAGGTGGTCTTGGCTGGTCAAACCTGATGTATCTTAATCTGGAACAAATCCATAGCCTCTGGCTTTCTGTGGGAACATAAGCAGAGTCTCCTTTCCAAAGTAACATATCCTTATATTCAAATTTTGAAGTC